TTTTTAAGAAAAAAATAGTTCATGAAAAAAAAAATTTTTTTGCCCGGAAAAAAGTCAAAAAAAATTTTTGAATAAATATTATTATCTGATTCCGTTAATTACAATCAACGTAATAATGTAAATTATAATGAAATATGCCTTTAATCAGTTGATTTAGAAATTTAAATGGAATTTTTGATTGAATTTTTTTAATAAAAAAAATATCATAATTAATAATAATTTAGTAAATAATAATGATGTCAATAATATTCATATCAAATAAAATTCATTTTATTTAATTTGAGTAATATCAGTTATACTCTTTTTATGTGTAGAATATAAATTGTATTTAAAAATTCGCGCGTTATCTTTAGTAGTTGTCTTCGCGTCCGCAAGGTGTCGAAATCTTAATTTTGATAATTTCTTCCACTAATGACGTGCATTTCGAAATGTGTATATGCAGATAACAATTTATAGCTAGACATTTTACGAATTTTTTTTATTCTTCTATGAAGGTAAGTATTTTTCGGTGTTCGATTTTACTTATTTATGTGTTTGGTATTAAATTGAATTTACGTTCAAATAAGCGTTTCGACTTATAATTTTTTTTCTTTTCTCGTTTTTTAAAATTTGTGTTTCTGTTTTCATTACGATTTTTTACTTCATCTTTTTGGAGAAAGTTCTTCAAGAGCTTTAACTTCCGCTGTTTTGTTAATTTAACATAATTTCATTTCATTAAAAATATTGTATTATTTTTATTATTTTTTGTTTTTTAAGATGCCTTTTACTAAATTTTGTTGTAACCCACTTAATAGACCTAAACATGCGAAATATAAAAAAAAATCTTCGCAACATTTCAAAAGAGCTAGCGAAAAAATTTTCAAATCTTTCAGGTGATCAATATCTTTGTGATCAATGCTGAAAATCTTTATTGCAAAAACCTCCTTCTTTTATAGAAAAAACAACTAATAATCCACAACAAATCATGAACGACAATGAAAATATTACTAGGGATGTTGAAATGAATGACATTGAAAATATTTTTATCCCAGAAAATGGTGAAGAAGATATGATACAATTTCCTGCAGTGGACAAAGAGGCAGTATTTTCTTATTTAAATAAATGTTTAATAATTTTAAATGAACCTCAAATTGATTCTAAAAAATCTTATACTGTAACAGAAAAAACAGATTTAATAAAAAATATTACTTCTGTACTTAAAAATAAAAATTTTTGATCTCGATGACTCTAATGATGATGAAAATGATATTGTAAAATATCTTCAAGAAAAATTTGAAGAATGTAAAGGAGATAAAAAATTTCAATTGCAAATTTTAACAATTCTACCTAAAAATTGGACAATTCGGAGATTTGAAGAAACATTTGGATGTTCAAGTCGAATGGCACGAAGAGCAAAAACATTGATTTCTGGAAATAACTTTTTAGTTTTTAGGTTCGCATACTGTTTGCGTTTGCACTCTTCACCAAAATGTAAAATTAATGTTCGAATGTGGAAAAATTCGTGAATTAGCTATCAGTAGCAACCTTGAATTTCCTACGTATCAGCACTGGATAGCTCAATCAATTTGCAATCCACCACAAATAGAATGTTACCATGGAACTTGTTCTTCTTGTCCAGGAGATTTAAAATTAAAAGCGGATTTACTATCAGCTTATGAAAACAGTAATATTGAAAATATTACATTTAAGCAATGGGTTCAAGTAGACCGCTCTAATCTTGAAACAATTATAAAATCTACAGAAGAGTTCGTTGAATATTTCGCACAAGAACAAAAAAAATTAATTTTACATGGTTTTATTGCGAAGGAACAAAATCAATTTCTTGTAGATGTTAAATCTAATTTGAATGATGGGGAATTATTAATAATTTGCGATTTTGCTGAAAATTATTCCTTTGTAGTCCAAGATTCAACTCAAAGTTATCATTGGACAACAATTCAGAAAAGGAGTTAAAGCATGTTAGTTTTGTTGTAATTTCTGAAATTTTGGAACATAATACTATAACAGTACATCTATTTCAAAGAAAATTAATTACTTTTCTAAGAGAAAATTTAAACCAAGAATTAAAAAAGATTTTTTATTTTTCGGATGGATCAGCAGCTCAATATAAAAATCGCAAAAATTTTGCAAATTTAACCCATTACAATTTAGACTTCGGTTGCGATGCAGAGTGGCATTTTTTTGCGACATCACATGGCAAAGGTCCTTGCGATGGAGTGGGAGATAGCCTTAAAAGAGCTGCAGCCCAAGCAAGCTTACAGCGACCCCTTGAAAACCAAATTATAAATGCCCGAGATTTGTTTGAGTTTGCTCAACATTTAGAAAAAATTCATGTTGCATTCTGTACACATGAAGAATACATTGAAGAAGAAATTTTTCTAAATCCGAGGTTTGAAAAGTCGGTTACTATTCCAGGCACACAGAAGTTCCACGCATTCATTCCTGTTTCAAAAAATAAACATATTTTTTTCACTTAAATAATACCTACTAATCGAAAAAAAATGTTTTATTCGATAAGCAATTTCACTTTATGTAAACCAGTGTTAACGAACATTCTATTGTTATTTTATCTAGAGTTATTTTTTAACATTTTAAAAATGAAAAATGTAAAAAATAACTGACTTTTTTGCACGATTTGTTTAAAAATCTTTATGTAACTTTATAATTATCATAACCAATTTAGAGAATATTTAAAAACTAATTAACTGATCTATTATTGAACTTTCTACTATAAAATATTACGAATTTATTGACTTTAAAAATCTATCTCTGCAAATATCGAGCAATTATATTTAAAATTAACATAATACCAAATAAGTTACCACAAATTGGTCTCAAAAATCTCCATGAGGAAGCAATGTGTTCATGAAATGAAAACAAAAATTCATACTTCAACCTGTTTTTTAATTAAAAATAATTTTTGAACTTATAATTGTAGAAAGTTTTTCAAAATGATTTTGTATGTGTAGTCTTTCCACGCTTGTAAATTTTTTCACGTTAAAACACACATTTTACCGATTTACATGAATAATTTTTATTTCTATTGCAATATATACTTATTTGAATTGCTCTGACAAATTTACACTACCGTCAGAAATTGTGCGATCTCTGCTTTTTCAATGACTATAAAACAGTTTAAATTTTCAAAAATATTAAAACTAAAATTTTTTCCTTCTTATTTTATAAAAGCTAATAAAATTCTGAAAGAAATGACACCTTGACAAAAAGAATACGTTAATTTTTCAATTAGATATCTAAGAAAAACCGAATTTTCAATGTTTTTATTATGTTATATTTCTGTCAAAAATTAATATTTTTAAATGTTCTTGGAATCATTGGAATGATATTAATTAATTAATTTTTGCTAGAAATAAAAAAAAATTGGACGGGTTAGTGGAAAACTATGCCATTTCAGAAAATATTTGAAAAACATGCCATTCCGCGTGAAGATTGGAAAAGATGCCTATTCGTGAAAGCCGTGTGAAACATGCCATCTCGGATGATATTTGAAAAACATGCCATTTCGGCGAAGAGTTTTTTTCTCCTATTTTAAGTTGATAATACTGACTCGCAATAAATAATAGGCAAGCTTTTTCTCTGATTTCTGCTATTCTTATTAAAAAATTTAATAATGAAAGCACTTTTTTCAAATTAGTCAAATATCTAAAAATGCCAAAAGTTCGTATTTTACTCTACATATTTTCTTTGACTACTATTTTAAAATTAGATTTCTTGTAATTATTTTTCTACTTGGTTTGCACTTACAATATAGTGCATTTTATATGAAATATTAGCTTCTATATTATTATTTTTTTTATTTTGATCTCTTCACGTATACCCTTTTTGGGTTTTTACTATGTCGGTTAGCTTCTATATTAAAATTTAATCGAAACAAAATACTGTCTGTCAGAAATAGAAATTGACGATTTAATTAATGAAAAAAGGCCTATTATTTATTTTGAGTCAGTATTACCAACTTAAAATAGGAGAAAAAAAACTCTTCGCCGAAATGGCATGTTTTTCAAATATCATCCTAGATGGCATGTTTCACACGGCTTTCACGAATAGGCATCTTTTCCAATCTTCACGCGGAATGGCATGTTTTTCAAATATTTTCTGAAATGGCATAGTTTTCCACTAACCCGAAGGGTTAAGTAGTAGAAGTTAAGGGGGGGGGGGGGACAGGGTCATTTTTTGCAATTTTTTCGAAAAAAAAACGATTTATTACCTTTCTAGATCGTAGACATCAAATTTAATCGGTCTCTCTATATTTTTTTTGTAATCTGCACGTGAAAATACATGTATGTACCAAATTGCAACTCTCTATATTAAATATTGTAGCCGCAAGGGGGGACACAAAGCTGGGACGGACGCAAGAGTCTTTTCATAAGGGTTCCGTCGGTACACCAAAGGTGTACGGAACCCTAATAAAAACATTGAAAATTGGGTTTTTCTCAGATATCTAATTGAAAAATTAACATAATTCTCTTTGTCAAGGTGTCATTTCTTTCAGAATTTTATTAGCTTTTATAAAATAAAAAGGAAAAAATTTTAGTTTTAATATTTTTGAAGATTTAAACCATTCTCTAGTCATCGAAAAAGCAGAGGTCGCACAATTTCCGACGGTAGTGTACCTAATAAATCTTATTTATTATTAATTATTTTTTCACCTTGATAGAATTAAACTCAATACTTTGTAAAACCAAAAATAATATAGGTAGTATATAGTCGAGCTAATATTTGAAAAATTTATATTTTTGTAAAATGTTTAAAAATTTCCGATTTAAAAAAATTATAAATATTTTATTTTTATTAAGTAAAATTTTAAATAACATAAATATTCAAAATATTTTCCAAACCTGAGTTTTGAGCCATTACAATATAGTAAAATAATAATAATTTGTATATTAAAGAAATATGTGATAAATTGAAAATGTGTTAACAATAACAAAATACATTTCATATAATATCACTAGTAATAATATACAGAAAGTATTTACCTGTTCATTAGATGAAGTTGTTCTACAACCTTCATCATTGAGTTTAAATTTTAATAAATCATTATAATTTCTTGACATCATGAGATCATTATCTGTTTCAAATTTGAAAGAGAACATTAAAGTAATGTATATATAAAAATTCACAATTATTTACTATACTGTTTTAATATTATTATATTTCTCCATAAAATCTTTAATTTTTTTTCGTTTTCCATAAAGAATGAAATATTTAAGAATGGCTGAGTGTCTGTACTAAATTTATAGGGTCAACGCACAATAACCTCTCTCTTCAGCATAAAGCTGCCGTCCACAGTTCACGCTTTACGCCGACGGCAGAAAATATTCGCCAAAGTCGTTCATGAGATAGAAAAGGACAAAATAATGTTTGTGTCCTTTTCTAACGCATGCATCTTGTTCGCGAACGATTATCGAGATTGTGCATTGGTCCTAACTAAACCATGTTCATTCTGGTCTTACCTTTATACATGCATGGATTATTCGCACGTGGCTGTCAGTTTCAGTCAAAGCTGTAAACAAACTGACGAAATACATTAACTCTGTGTGTTTGATTTATATAAGTCATTTTAATTTGCTATTCACAATTTTGAATGTAATAGAGTAATGTTGTTATAGCGAAACTGAAATGGAGGAGAAATCTGTTGAAAGACATCCCTGGTCTTACTTAAATACAGTAACTGAGTTTGATAGAGGTAATACATTTTTTCAGTGTATAATTTATACTAACCTCAATTGTTGTTAATTGCAAGTGTTTGTCTTATGTCATCATTTAAAAAAAAAATTCCGTTCAAAGTATCGTATTAGAAGTTAGCACTAATAATTATAATTACAATAAAAAATAAATGATCCGTCATATTACTTTCGGTTTCTGATTGAAATAAGTGAATTTCAATTTTTTTACTATGAAGAGTAGTAAATGTACCAATCGGTGAACTGTGTTCAAATATATGAAACACTTTTATAAATAATATTGAAATGTTCATAAACATTTAATAATTCAATTTTAAGAATATCCATAGTTTATAAGAAATACGTATGGACAGAAAAAATAATAAATGATGCTTTGTAAAATTAGGTTAGGAATTACGTTCCAAGCAGTAATAATGCACGGACAATATTGTAAAATAAAATGAAATAAAATTATACAGTGTTCAAAAAGTATGGAAACTTGCAAATATCTCGAAAAGTACGCATTTTCGTGATAATTTTTTTTTTACTGTTGGGCTCTGGGGCCAATTTTTTGGGTTCAAAAATGTAGATCATTTTGTTGAGAACAACTTTTGTGTTGAATATTTTTAACGAAAATGCGTACTTTTCGAGATAAATCTATAATTTACTTTGTTATACATGTAACTTATGAATATAATATACAATTTTTCAATTAAATATCTGTTTCATATTTGGTACATCAAAATTTGAATATTGGAACAAAATTCAAATTTTGAAATGGACGGTTCCAATTTTATGTACAATCGTTTTTTATGCGAGTGCCTATTGTGGAACAATCTTGAATAAATACTTAGTTACTTACTGAGTTTTCTCTACTTATAAAGTTTTATTATATCATAATTTATTACCAACAATTTGTTTTAAGGTTCACTAAGTTGAAACTTTTTCAGAATAGTATTTTTGCAAATAAACATAAAAGTAAGTAATTTTTATTTGATAATTATTCTTTAAACTTTTGACAACAAAATCATAAACATTAGAATTATTCATAAAAAATATAACAATTTTTAAAATAAGAATCAATTAAATTATAAATATATTTTTTAAAAACGAAAATTACATCTACTTTTAATTTTTAAAACAGGTTAAATATTGGTGATAATGAAATGATTACGAATTCGAGGTCAGTTTTTGAAAATTCCAAATGGCGGATCCAATATGGCGGACAAAATTTTAATATTTAGAAATGAATTTTGAAAAACTTCACCTCGAAAATGCATAATTTGCTGTTCCAAAAAAATTGCACGAGGGAAAAAAATTTAAAATATGATTTTCTTACTCAAAAAACACATATTAATCGAAAAAAAATGTTTTGTTCGAGTGACAATTTCATTGTAAACCTGTGTTACTTAAAATTACAATTTAAAGGTCCTAAAAAATTACCGGGGAAAAAATTCATTTTCACCTGGAAAACCGGGAATTTTTTTCTTAACTTACACTGGCCACCCGGAATAAGGAATGCGATATATTTTTAATTCAAAACTATTTTTTATATATCCAATTTATTTATCGTATTTAACAAAAGATATTTATTATTTAATAGAAATGTTAAAAACAATAAACAAATTATATGTTTTTTAGCTTTGAACAATTAAACGCTAATAAAGTGTTCCACAATAGGGGCATAAAAATGGAACAACTGATACATTATACATAAGTGGCGTTTCACAATATGTACAAATGTGCCTTCATAGATATTCATAATTTAATTTTATAAATATTTAATTATTATTGCTTTATAAATTATAATTAACAAAAAAGATCTAATATTGACATTGACAAATTTTATAATTTTAATTAATAGCCTTATTTATTACAATATATTATTTATAATTAATAATATTTATTTATTAATCATAGTTTATGCCTTTCGGCTTTGAACGGACTTCCGGTATATACATATAAACTTGTAATACATACATATCAATTAAATCAAATTAAAACAAATTAAAATAATAATATGTTATATATTATAATATAATGCAATAAATAGAGAAATCGATAGGGAATAATGCATTGTAAAACTTAAAAAGTGTACAATGAAGAAATCAAATGTGATCGTGGTTATTTTTAACTTTAAATAAATTAAGTAATAATAAAAATAAATTAAATTCAAAAGACAAGCGCCAGATCTTTCACGGATCAAAATAAAATTAAAATAAATATAAGATCACATAATCAATTAAAGAATTGGCTAACTCAGTTCCAATCTGGTAAAGACAAAGGGGAAAGATCGGCTGAAAGAAATTTTTAATTAGACCAACCAAAATGATATACAGAATAAAAATTTAATATTTCAAATAATAATTAGTTAAAAATTCAAATACATTTTGAAATAAATAATGAAAAACACAGGTTAATTAGGGTAGCAAAAATAGATTCACAAAGAAAATGAGAAATTTGCTTTTTCGATGTAGACGGCCTTTTGCTAGTTTTTAAAAATGAATGTTTTTGAATATTATTAAACTTATAATGGTTACTAGAAAGTTACATGGGCGCTTTGCGGAAGTTTAGGATTTTCAACTAAATACTCTTGGATTTTAACCAAAATATGTGTACATTTATTACATTTTATATTATACAGTAATAAAAGATAACTTTAATTTTTAGGAGAAAATCAATGGACAACAAAATGCTTGGATAATACAACAAAATTGAAATCTCAAGGCTATGTCGTGGACAAAATTTCCTCAGCTACAAGTTTACTTATAGAGTCATTATTACAGCAATTATGTACAATGCTAGAAAAATGTCCATCACGTAGAAAAAAATTATACTTCGGTAAGTTTATAAAAGAAGATAATTTATACTGAAAAAATTAAATCTTATAATTATTTTGAAACTTTTCTAGTTCTAGAATAATTTTGAGAAATTGAAATAAATTTAAGTTTATAAATAATTTCGAGTACTTTAATTTTTTAATTCTCAAATAGATTCGAGAACTCAAAGATTTTAAAAACTTCAATTTTTCAGCAATTTGTAATAAGCTGCACGAAATGAAACTGATTGACAACTCTTATCATGTTTCTGATTTTGAAATGATTAGAAATCATTATCAACAGGCATTATATCATTTAGTTTCTGCAGCTCGAGTATCAATACGTAAAGAACCTATTTTAGATATTTCTAGGTATTATTTATGTTTGGTATTATGAGCCCGTTTTCACCATGTGGTTTAATTTAATCTTCCGAGTAGATATATTCTGCGTCTGCGCAGAATGTTTGCTTCTGCGCAGAAGAATATATTTACTGCCTTTAACTTCTCGAAAGATTAAATTTAACGACACAGTGAAAACGGGCTCTATAATGACTTCATTAATTATGATATTTCGTCAATTTCTGATGGTTTTTCTGTTAACAGTTCTTATATAAATGACTGGAGTCGATATCATCAAGAATTTCAAGAAATTTGTTTTATTAGTTCTGGTGGATTTGGAAATGTTTTCAGAGCTCTTAATCGGCTTGATGGAATTGAATATGCAATTAAGAAAATTGTTGTTAAATCACATAGAGTTAAATCTGTCATGCAATATTTGGCAGAAGTAAAAACACTCGCAAGACTGAATCATACAAACATAGTTCCTTATAAAGCTGCGTGGATTGAGCCTAGTCTAGAGTCAACTTCAATTAAATGTTTATCTCAAACGACTCGTGATAGAGAAAACCATAGTTCTACTGTAGAACTTTCCAGTTCTGAAAGTAAATTATATCCAAGTCAAGATGGTAGAAGAAAAAAATTAAAATCTAGTTCACTTAATAAGAAGGTAATTAGTGGTATGTATCTATCCGTTCTGATAAGTTAATATTTCACATTTTTCAACTAATGGTTTTCTGAAAAAAAAACGCTATTGAGATTTTTGAATAGTATTTGCAGTTTATATAAAATTTCTTTATAATTTTAGACCAATCAGTCATAAAAGAAGTACATTCTAATAGTGTTTCATTTAGAAATGAAGTTGAAGAATTATATTCGAAACATAGTAATTTGAAACAAGATGATGTAGAAGGTTTTTGCAATACAGATGAGAGTGATTCACCTGACGAATTAAATAAACAAAATCAAATATGCCAATATAACAATCAGGTAAAGTTTTACAAATTTAGTTTTATAGTTGTAAATTTTTGTATTCTTTATTTCGACAAAACGAAACAAATATATACCAATCAATTATTCGTAAAGGGTCTAAACAAATCTGCTCCAGCTCATAATTCATAGAAAGCTGAAATTAATGTCGCAATTGATATCAACGTGATAAAATTTTTCACCAAATAGTATTTCAAAAAATGCATTTTAGTAGGAGTTTACGAAAGGCCAGTAAAGTTAAAATTACTAAAAAGAAATATTGTTTCCAAATGTCCTCGACTTATGCCTCATTTATGGTAAAATATTTTGTTCACTTTAAATACACAGCCACAAAGAAAAATAACTGTAATAAATATAATATGAATGTCAAAGACTATTCTAAAGTTTTTGGAGTCGATGAATCCGAATCTTTGATCAAATTTAAAAAATTCAAAATGGCGATACAAAATGTCAATCAAGAAAATTTTAAGTTTACGAATCTGGCTGAAAATATTTACTCGGGGACTTTTAGGGTTTAAATCCAAATATTTAATCAAAATTTGAAAATTCAAAATGGCGGCTTAAACATTTATTTTTATTCGCCATTTTGGAATTACCATTCTGAATTTTTTACTAAAGATTTGGATTTAGCGACTTAGCACTTTGGCACGCAACTTGGATTGACATTTTATTGCAGACACAATTCAATAAGAATAATATAGCGCACTTTATCGAATTAGAATTTTATTGCACTGGCTTTCGAATAAACATTTTAACAGAGGTCGTCGATATGTAAAAATTAGAAATAAATAAATTTTAAAAACTAAGCATCTACTTGATATGATTTTTAAAAATAATTTCAATTTTCTAACAGAGTCGACAGTGTTCTATAATTTACATTCAAATGGCATTGTGTGAAAAAACATTAAGGGAATGGATGGATGAAAGAGTTACTTTAACACCCCAGCCAGTAATTACAGAAATAGTTAAACAAATTTTGAATGGTTTAGAATATATTCATAATCTTAATATAGTTCATCATGATATTAAGGTAATATTAAATATTTAATAATATGGAAAAATATCAGAATTTATTTAAAAAAAGGTGTTATTTATTATAGCCGAGCAATATCTTCATTTCTTCTTCTGGAAAACTTCATGTACAACTTGGTGATTTTGGTTTAGCATGCCCTTTACAAAGTGAAAGTAATCACTCTGAGTTGGGAACACCAATGTACGCTGCTCCTGAACAGTTAAAAGGAGAGTGCAATCCAAAGGTATTTTTAAAAACAAATACTATTTTCTGTAGGAGAACACTTTTCCTAATTCGTGTTTCCCATCGACATTTTTCCCAATAATAATTTTTTTTTCAAATTTTTTATCACAATGGACAATTGCAATCTTTTCCAAGATATGACCGACTAACTTCACTGTTGTTAATAATAAAAAAGTCATTTGTTATTCAACCATTGGCGTAACTTTCTATCAAAATTGCAAGTGAAAAAAATTAGGTTTATTATGACTGAAGCAAATTTAGAATATGCAGAACGCAATAATTTATTTAATTATTTAAAAACTATTGAAAATATTGAATAATAACAATAATCCTGCATCAATTACATAAAAATTAAGTATTCTTAAATATGTTTTTTCCCGTTATAGAGCGATATGTACAGTTTAGGAATTGTTTTGATTGAGTTGTTAATTCCAATGCAAACATTTATGGAATTTAGTCGCATGGTTGACTCTGTGAAATCAGGAAATATACCAATTGAACTCACAACGACGTATCCAAAGTGGGTAAGGTAAACTTAAATTAAAATTCTTCAGCTAACAACCAGAAATTCCAAAATACTTAAAGTTTCATTTTAGGCACTGATTATGAGTCGACTTCTTCAAAAAGATTTAACAAGACGTCCTTCTACCAGGGAACTACTCGATGAATTAAAAACAGATCAGGAATCAATTATCTCTGAATTGAAACATGAAAATACGGAAAAAGGTGTTCTTATTAATGAATTACAGGATAAAGTATGTGCTCTAGAAAACGAAATCAGTAGACTCAAATTATTATTAAATACGTCTAAGATTGACTTTGAACCCATATAGGACCGAACAAATTGTTTGTATTATGTAACTACATTTTTAACATCGACAAGTAGTTTACTTTCAAATTTTTAAAGAAACAAAATTAATAAACAATTACAATAATTATGCCACTTACATTTGTAAGTGCGTCTCGAATTTTAGTGTTCGACTAGTCGAACAGCTGTCCGATATGGGTTAAGACAATTGCAACAATATTTTTTTTCTTATATTATTGTTTTTATTATAAAAATTTATAGATTATTAAATTACTATAATATATTAACGAATAAAATATTTATTTGCTTATTCTAAATACAAAATGGAAAAACAATACATTGCTCATAATTTAAAAATTTGTACATATTTAAAAAAAAAATTTTGTTTCTGTTTTTGATAATGTAATTAACATATAGATAGGATTTATTTGTTAAAACTTTTATCCATTTGTATTAATAAAATTATAATTTTGTAAAAATATGATTTTTCATCTTTCAAGAGCCTCATTCGATAAAAGTAAATTGATTAAAGTTGTAATTTACAAATACGAATTTAGAAATTGAATACAACTTGCAGAAAAATGAAATAGAAACAATTTTCCACCAAATCGAATTCAACAATTTGAACCCCTTTCATAAAAATTTTTTGTGTAAATTAAATTGATTATTAAAACTGCTCCTAATATACCAGGAAGTAAACATCAAAAAATATATAATTTACGAACTATAGTTAAATATATTCATATTTACAGAGTACTTAAATTTTTATACAACTTTATAGAAAATATTCTCCTCTAATTTTTGCCCTTTTGTTAAAAAACATTAAACAAGTTTTTATCATGTCATAATTATCATTTTTTACAAGTGTCATAAAGTGTCTTTACATAGTTTCAGGTATAAACTGTGTAAATAAAAAATCTGATACATATTTAAAAATGTTGTTGATAAAAATTCAGTTGTTTCTTACATGATTTAGAATAATTATATTCATTTTAATTTTAAAACCAACCATAGAACGAAAAATACTGCTATAGAAAATAGGAAAATATAAATAATATAACAATTGTGTCCTCCTTTTGACAAACGTAATACTCGTGATATTGACGATGATAAAGATCCTCTAGTCCTTTCGAAATCATCATCCTGTAAAAATATATTACAATTAAATAATATTGTCACATTTATTTGAAATTATGTACATTTTTAATGACTATTAAAACTGTATTACCATTTCATTTAGCATTTTATCCTGATATTTAACTTCTGCGCCAATGTCAATGGATAATGATTTAAGAGCATGGATTTTGTCTCGAAGTTCGTCGGTAATACGTTCATTTTCGTCTTCCAGAGAAGCAGCTGATGTACTAGGTACCGGCTCGTAAGCATACCCTCCTGCAAGTAATTATAATATATAAACTGAAAATACAGATTTCCGGTCAATTTCCTCGAAATAAGTAACTTATTTGACATTACCATGGGAACTAGACAAATTGTTTATTACAAATGTTCTTGTCTCACGTATAAGCTTCTGTGTGTGGGAAAAGGCCAAACGAAGCAATTTTTATGGCAAATGAGTTTTATGTCAAATGAATTTTATATCAAATAAGTTAAATAAGTGAAATTTATATCATTTTTTAGATTTACAGTCGAACCTCGATATGTGAAATCGTAATAGAGATTTATAAAAGTTTTATTAATTAAAGTTTGACTTTTACGTAATAAGAAATTTTATATAATTACACAGGCACACAAAAAAAGTGTTTTGGCCGAGACACTACACTAGTGTATTCCCATATATTTTTCTCCGCTGAATCCGAATTCGAAGTCAAAATTGTCCGATTGGCTCAAAATTTGGAGAAAACTCAATAATTTGCTAAAAAACAAGAATTAAAGTCAAAAAAGTCAATTTTTTTCTGTTACACTAATTTAGTGTTTTCGCATACATTTTTTCCCACTGAATTCGAATTTGAAGTCAGAATTGTCACATTGGCTCAAAATTTTTGAGAATTTTTAAAAACTGCTTAAAGAAAGAATTAAAGTCAAAAGCGGAAAATCACGGGACTTGAAAATTAAACGCACTTACAGAGGTTTCTCAATTATCAAGTTCTCACTTATCGAGGTTCGACTGTATATCAAATTAATTTTATGTCAAATTCTTATTTTACAGAATTTTTATTTGTCCGAATAAACATCTGTCAAAAAAAATTTGGACGCGAATTTAAAAATTAACAAACAAAAATATTTTTACAGATGAATACATACCTGAATGTGATCGTCTCATTTTAAAAAGATCAATTTTGGCAATTGCTAGCAATGTAACATAATAAATCAATTTTATACTCCAATGTCAAACCTATGAAACATAAAAGTAAAAAAAAAAGTTTAATAATTCAATTTTATAGTGGAATTATAGAATTTCTTTTGTATCTTTTTAAAAATTAGAGTGACAATTTTTAAGGGAGTCACATTTTGAGTCCTTTAAATTTTAATGATTGCAAGAAATTATACTTCTTTTCCTGCATCATTTGAATCCTGAAAACATAAGTAGGATCATATAGGACCATTTTAGAATTTTTATTATTTGAAAAAATTAATATTTTTGAAAATCCAGGCGAGAGATTTTGAAGTATAATTAAAAAAGTGTGGAAAAATTTTGACGATGAAAAATACTTAAAATTGTGAAAAAAATACATATTTAATAGGAGAGTGCAATGATGTTTTAATTCATATTTTTCTATCTTTTTTTGAAAAAATTAAAATTTTTGAAAATTCATGCGACAGATTCTTAAGAATCATTAAAAAGGCATGGAAAAAAATTGGCGATGAAAAATAGTCAAAATTCTAAAAGAAGATAGATATTTAAAATATTAATTTTTTTAAGACTTTAATTTCTAAAATGGTCAAAAATTAAAATTTAATTTTTTTGACCAACCTGTATGTTTTTAGGACCAAAATGATGCAAGAAAAAAAAATAACTTTCTGCGATCATTAAAATTTAAAGGATTCAAAACAAAGGTGGTGACTCCCCTTAATGAAAGAATTGCATAATACGATTTTCGATGAAAATAACAATAACAATGAAACTAATTAGTTTTTAATAGTCATAATTTTTGTATTTCCTAGTACTTTGTACGAAAGGGCTTTGTCTGCATACTTCAATAAATAAATAAAGATGATTATCGAATTTGAACTTTGACCCAAGGAAGTCTCACTCAATATTTTCCTACGTTTTTAAAGAGGTTATTTAACATATATGACGATCTTTTAGAATTTAAAAAATGATGAGCAAAAATCCACACGGAAATCTAGGTGTATCGTTTCAAATATAGTTTTAAGTCTGTTTTTCCAAAATAATTTTGCTAGATTTAATACTGTTATTTATTTTGGAACGTGAACATGTTAAAATAGCTAAACACAATCATACAATTAAATTATTACTGACATCAATGCAAAAGTTATTTTAAAGAAGCATATATTAATTTCATTTTAAACTAGTTTGTAGGTTAGGTAAAAATTAAAAATCAGTTACTTAAATACCTTTATTTTTAAACATTTAACTAATGATGATTTTCCTTCTTTTTATTTTAATAAACTCCTGTTCCACATGTTATTAATAAATAAATAAATGTTAAAGTTAAGTATTTGTAATTGTAAATAAGCATCTGTCACTTCCTGCACACGTTATCATTTATGGTCTCTCAACAATTAAGACCGGCTGCTTGCAAAGCTATTAAGGGTACGGCCACAGTTCAGCTATCTAAGTATGGTCGTCATGGTAACGTATAAGAGTGAGTGAAATAAGAACATTCTTTATTTGGCCGTTTCCAAATTGGGATTTTGGACGCACTTTTAATAGGTGTTTTCGGGAGTTGCTGTAAGTATACTGTCAGTATGTTGTGATTGGCTGATCCATCAGCATGTTTATTCTGATTGGGTAATTTTTTACTGTCAGTATACTGTCAGCAACTCCCGAAAACACCCAAAGTGTATACTTGAGAAATATGCAGTGTCCTTTTTTCGCACTGAAAAACAAGGACACTGCATACTTCCCGAGTATACACTTTATCAAAAGTGCGACAAAAATCCCAATTCGGAAACGACCTTTCTCAGAAAGCATAAATCATGAAGGTGGTTTCACAACAAGTTGCTTAAGCTTTTGCTTTGCATTTGACTTGGGCCGTTTCCGAAATGAGTTTTTTAGCGTACTTTCAATAAAGTGTATTCTCGTGAAGTATGCAGTGATCTTGTTTTTCTGTGCGAAAAAAAGAACACTGCATACTTACCAAGTATACACTTTATCAAAAGTGCGCTAAAAATCCCAATTCGGAAACGGCCTTGCCTTGTTAAGGCTGCAGTCCCATGGCAGCGTTTTGCGTTGCGTTTTGTCACTAGACCCTGAGTGTAAACATAGCAAACATATATCTGCATCTCTTTTACACTCATGGTCTATTGACAAAACGCAACGCAAAACGCTGCCATGGGACTGCAGCCTAAGTCAAAACGGTACACGCGCAACAGTTTCCAGGCAAAAGTAAATAAATTACTAATTAATTAAATTTAATGAACAAAAACGAACAAATTAGTCATTAATTAATTAGTAATTTATTTAATTACAAATGCGAAGCAAAAGCTTATGCAATTTGTGAAGTCTCCTGGAAGGTTCCGTCCTATGTAGGCGTAAAGCGTCGGCGAAAAGCGTAAACCATGAGAGTGACATAGATAGTGATATCTTTTTGCCCCATTCACTCTTATAGATTAAGCTTTCCGCCGTCGCTTTTACGCCAACGTGGGACGGAGTCTTTAAGGTAAGTCTACATTGGCTGCGCAGAAATCGACTTAAACGTACTGACGTCACAATATTATTCAAATGGGTGAAGGACAAAGCAGAATAGATTGATTGAATATGATTGCGTTTCTATTCAAGAATCTATTCTGCTTAAGCCTTGACATCAGCACGTTCACGTTCACGCAATCAATGTATAGAGTCAGCTTTAAGGGCCTGTCCAGATAGACCAAAAACATGAACGTAAACGTAACATTACAATGTATTTTAAATGCGGATACGTTACGTTCATGTTTTTGGTCTATTGTGGACAGACCCTTAAAGCTGAATCCAAAATGAATCAGAATTAGCACATAAACGTTACGTTAACGATATAACGTACCGTTTATGGGGCCATCCATAAATAACGTTTCGCTTGAAGGGGGGGGTCAAGAATTTGCAACATTCAATAGAAAAAATGGCGCTAATGAATGCAAAATGTGCAACATGAGAGAGGGGGGGAGTCGAAAATGGTGAAAAATAGTGCAACGTTATTTATGGATGGCCCCTTGGGTACAAAAATTAATAATTTAAAAGTTATTTTAAAAAAACTGATTCGCTCCATTGACTTCAATGCATTGCATGTCTTCCGACGAGCTGCCATTTTGAAAAGTGACGTCACGCTATGTCACAAGTTGAACTTGCTTGTTTACGTTCACGTACATATACGAACGTGCTCATTGTAGAATCTGCTTGAAGGTGGCAAGTAGTTTGCGCGTAGACCAAAATTAGGTTTGTGCGCATAAATTGACCGGTTACACTTCAACGAAATGTAGTGAATGTTTAGTAACTTTCTAGTAATTTTACATAACTTTTGGTTGTAATTAGAAAGTTACTAAACATTCACTAGTTTTTGTTGAAGTGTGACCGTACTCTAATGGAGCTTCTACAATAGGTCCGAAAGTAAAGTCCAAGTCCGAGTGGCTCGGACTTTGTTACGCGCGCATCGTATAATTTTTATTTTTTTAAGATAATTGATGGTAATTACTCATTATTAATTAATTAATAATGTTGCGCGCGCAACAAAGTCCGAGCCACTCGGACTTGGACTTGCACTTGCCTCTCGGACCTATTGTAGAAGCTCCATAAGTACGGAACAAACGGAAGAGAAAGGGAAAAGAGCCTAGGTCGTCATGGTAACGTACAAGAATGAGTGAAATAAAGAATGTTCTTATGCGAAGCTATTATGCTTAGGCCTAAATATATGATGCATGAGTTAGAAAAGAAGAGAGATGTATTCGTGTCCTTTTCTATTTCACACATTCCGTTTGCGAGCTATTGTGTAATGACCCAAATGCTTTATAAGTCGTAACACGTAAGAAAGAGAAAGAAAAAGACAAAAATATCTTCTATCCTTTTCTACATCACATTAAAGTTTACGATTTACGTTTTATAATTTCAATGTGCTGAGTGGCTGAAGACTATTGATACACCTTTGTGAGATCCCTAAAGTCAACAATTGTCTTTTTACAATGAAAACAAGTCAAGTTGACAGAGCCTGCTATGCTTTGGATAGCAGTTTTTAATAAGAATAAGATATCGACATATGTTTGCGGTGGCCTTTGATTATAAATTTTATTTTTAAAAAGAAAATGTTGGCTCAGAGAAGATGTAATTTTATTAATATTATTAAGTGTTTAATTGAGTTTTAATAGATATGCAATATTTTAAAAAGAGAACAATATAGATTTACTTGTTTTATATTTATTATGCTTAATTTGCTTGAATAAAAGAGATGATAGTTATAAACACATACTATTGTCACATGTAATCATTGGATTACAAATTTTAAAATAAGCAAAATATGGTTTGAATCAACAGATCATCATGACTGTGGATTTCGTTGATTATTTTTGGGTATGTACAATATTTTTAATATTAGTTACTTATTTCCGATCCCATGTTAAGGTTATTTTATTTTGTCCCGTGCTTTTTTTTCGTTAACCTAAATATTAAAAATTGTATTTTTTAACGTTTACTCGTGTATTTTTAAGTTTTTTTTGGTATAAAATCAAATAAACTGTCAAGACAAAAAGGCAAACAATTTATTAAGCGAAATTTGCTGTAAATTGTTGAAGCACTTCTAAATTATTGTAATATTATTTTTTAAGTTTATGAATCTTATCATTGTAGAAGATGCTTGTTACTATTCTTGTTTTTTTTTGCTGTACGATTGTAAAATACGTAAAATTATAATTAATTTGTCTTTGTCCTGCAATCAGTTATAAAAATATTTAGTTTGTCTCTCGTCTAATGTAATGTCTAGATATTAATTTAGGCGGATATAAAATAACGCCTTCAGTAGTGCCAACACGTCAATCTAAATGGACAGTTAAACACAAAAACTTTTCGTTCGTTTTCTACTTTTCGCATTTTTTTGTCAGCATTAATCAAATATACAAAATGACATTATACAGTGAAAAAAATGTTCTTGTAAATATCCATCTGCAGATTTTAATTATATAAAAATGTAAAATAATATATTAGTACAATTTAGCAATGTTAAAAGTTCGTCTGAAATTTCCACGATAATGTTTAAAATCTTTACTAGATAGGTTATATGAATATCAACTAGTTTCAATTTAATTGTTTAGTCCAAGTAATTTTATCGCAATTAATTAATTATACTCCAAAAAAGTGTAACTGTTATAAAAACAAGGTTATGTAACTGTTATGCAGGGTGTTCAAAAAGTATAAAAATGGTCAAATATTTTTAAAAATATGAATTATCCAGAAAAATGATCAAAACAAAAATTGATCCGAATGAAGACAATTTTAATATTCACAAAATTGGTCCCGGGCCCAATGTAATGCCCAAAATAAAAAAAAGTATTTTTTAAAATGAGACCACTAATTTTTCAATATCAATTTCGTAATTCTGCAAAAATTCTGCGTTCAGACATGTAATATACATGACCAAAACATTGGGCCTTATCCCAAGTATTGGGGCCGAACTTTTTCTATAACTAAGTAAATAAGTCATGTATATTACATATCTGAACGCAGAATTTTAGCAGAATTACGAACTTGATATTGAAAAATTAGTGGTCTCATTTTAAAAAATCATTTTTTTATTTTGGGCATTACATTGGGCCCGGGACCAATTTTGTGGATATTAAAATTGTCTTCATTCGGATCAACTTTTGTTTTGATAATTTTTCTGGATAATGCATATTTTTAAAAATATTTGACCATTTTTATACTTTTTGAACACCCTGTATAACAGTTACATAACCTTGTTTTTATAACAGTTACACTTTTTTGGAGTATAATTAATTAATTGCGATAAAATTACTTGGACGTTGAGGTCACAGATTACAATTTTAGTCAATTTTCAAATTGGGCTCGGGCCTAATGTATGGCCAACAATAAAAAAAATATTTTTTAAAATGAGACCACTAATTTTTAATAGCAAGTTTGTAATCTCGTTAAAATTCTGCGATCAGGCATGTAGTATACATGACCCAAATATTGGGCCTTACCCCAAGTATTTGTCTTGAAATTTTTCTACATTTAAGTAAATTCGCCAAAATTACTACTCGGGAGTTTTGGAAGTCACAGATTTCGATTTAGAAGTTAATTTTCAAATTGGGACAACCAATGAAGACCCTACAGGCCCCAAGCTTTGTTTATGTGTAGCACATAATTGAGAGCAGAAGTTTATGCGGATTTCAAATTTGATGCTGAAAATTATTAGTGCAATTAAAAAAAAACTTTTTTTACTATGTGGCCTTATATTGTGTCCGGGACCAATTTGAAAATTGACTTCGTAATCATAATCTCTGACCTCCACATAGTTTTTTTACGAATTTACACAATTGCAAAAAAAGTTCGAGCCCAATACCTGAGATAAGGCCCAATATTTTGGTTATGTATATTAAAGGGGTTCTATCGTAAAGAGAATTAACGTTAAGATTTTAACCCTTTCACTGTTAGAAAAAATTTGACACTATTGTCCCAAAATGTCCAACAATTCTGGTCGGCAAATTTTTATGAAACTTAGTATATAAGGATTTTTGTGGTCTCTGAATTCAAATATGACATCAAAAAAAAAATTTTAAATGGTGCAACTAAAATGGCGGACATTATTTAAATTTATGCAGAATTTCATGAAACTTAGAATATAAGGGTTTTTTGGGTCGCTGAATTAAAATTTTAATTTGAAGGTCAAATTAGAAATCTGCACCCTCGAAAACCCCTTTATACCAAGTTTCATAAAAACCCGTTAAAATTTTAAAAATTATGTCCGCTATTTTGGATCCGCCATTTAAAATTTTTTAATTTGAAGGTCAAATTCAAATTCAGTACCATCGAAAACGCCCTTATACCAAGTTTTATTAAAATCCGTTAAAATTTTAAAAATTATGTCAGCTATTTTAGACCCGCCATTTTTAATTTTGGAATTTAAAGGTCAAATTCGAATTCAGCGACCCGAAAAACCCTTATACACCTAATGTAGGTTAAATTAAAAAAAATGTGATTTTTACAAGCTTTTCAATTGTTATACTACTTAAAAATAATAAATAATTATTTAATTATTACTTAAACAAATATCATTGATATCTGTAGAGTGCGAATAATGATATAAAAGAATTTATTTTACAATTTGTATAGAAAATTTCATTTATTTTGTGTTTACATGATCACGACACAACGTATGTGTCGCTGACAGTGAAAGGGTTAGTAAAATTTGGTTTACAGGGAGATAAAGCTTTTATAGAGATGTACTTAAATTGAGACCTATAGGTACTTGTGAAAAAAGTTACGACCGATTTAGTTTTTTTAAAATCTTACATTGGTACCTACTTATGGGAATTCGTTGCTTTGTCATGAGGCATTTTACGTGTAATGTCCTGAGTTAAATAATAATAATTAAACATAAATTTGCTATTTTCACTAAAATCGATGCGTTTTTTTAAAATAAATAATTGCAAACGAAAGCTGAGGTTTTTTCCTATCTGTATACAAATTTTCAGAATGCCGATTTTTTTTGTTTTCGAGATATTAAATATCAAAGATTTTATGTCCGTGCGCGCCAGTGTTAACAGCTACCGTGGCGCGGTATGAGTCGACCGCCTCGCTGCACGCGCCGACATAAAATCTTTGACATTTAATATCTCGAAAACAAAAAAAATCGACATTCTGAAAATTTATATACAGATCGGAAAAACATCTCAGCTCACTATATTTCTTTTGTAATCTACACGTGAAAATACGTAAAAATGTATAAATTTGAATCCCTTAAGATAAAATTTTCTTCTTTTTTTATTCGAAAAATTCATGATTTTTTCTAAAAATATGAGTTTTCTTTAAAAACAATATGATCATCAATTCCAATCGTATTCGCTATATTTTTCCTGTAATCTATACGCAAAAATACGCATGTATACCAAATATAAACTGTCTTGGTCAAATAGTGTGTGCGCTAGGAGGATTTTTTTCCTTGACAACGCCATGATAATCAATTCCTATGAGATTCGCTATATTTTGCCTGTAATCTACACGTCAAAATACATATGTGTACCAAATTTCAGTCCTCTAGATAAATTCATGTGGCCGCTAGGGGGGGAACATGCCTTGCTTCCCCCTTTGGGTACGGAACCCTAAAAAAACGCACCGATTTGAATGAAAATAGCAAATTTGTGTTTAATTATAGAAAATCAAGGTCAAAATTCAAAAATTTTAAAAAACGAAATTCACTGTTGGAAAGAGCATGAAAAAACCTTTCAAAACATACCTGCCAAAATTGTTTTAATTGCATTTATAGACAGAAAAAATTCAAATAGTAGGCGGTGTCAGGGGAAACTGATAAAATTTCAATGAAATTGAAATTTTTAAATATAAATTTTTAAAAGTTCTATATCGTTGCATAGTGGGACAAAAAGCTCATATTTCGTTCAAAAAAGTCTATCAAATAATCGTGTAAATTTTTTTACTAAACAGTATCGTTCATTTAACTGAATGTTTAGTCCGTCCAAAATGAACGATATTGTTTAGTAGATTTAACTGAGATAGTAGTAAGATCTACTACGCCCTTCTCTCCGTTTATAAAAATTTATTGTTTTTATTAATTTCAATCTATTACAGTTTATTATCAACATTTGTCGATAAAATCAATAGAGTCGCGCTTTTTAGCAAGTAGGTGGCAGAACTCTTATTTTCTTTTCTTTGAATTTTTTCTGTATTTTTTTTTATCAAAAACAAAAATATTTGTTTAACGGATATATTAGAAAAAAATGTATTATTTTATTTTAAAAAACTAATATTATTGGTGAAAAAAATTAATTTTTTTTATAAAAAAAAAGTTGAAAAAAATAATTTTAAACAGAAATAATGGTGAAAAAATGTATTATTTCATCAAAAAAATTGATGAAAATTTATACTTTTATCTAAAAAATTGTTGAAAAAATGTATTATTTTATTAAAAAAATTTATTTTTTTTGATAAAACAATTTTTTTTCATGAATATTTCCTTTAAAAAATAATGATTTTTCAGATAAATTTTGGAAAAAAATTTATTTTTTCCAACAATATTTCCGATAAAAAAAATAAATGTCACACCAATATGTTTGTTTAAATAATTAATTTTTTTACCAATATTTCCGTTTAAAATTAATATCTTTTTTCACCATTTTTCTGATAAAAAATTAATTTCTTTCAACAGTATTTTTGACAAAAAAAATTAATTTTTTCAACAATATTTTTCATTAAATAATTATTATTCGTCATCAATATTTCCTTTAAAAAAATTTTTGTTTTACTAATATTTTTGATTAATACATTAATTTTTTTGATAAAATAATACATTTTTTTACCATTATTTCCTTTTAAAATAATATTTTCAACTTTTTTTTGAT